TTGCTTGATTATTCCTAATTACATCACAAGAAGTTATTACTACTTTCTTTTGTTTATTGCGTTGAAGAAAAGTTACCTCTTGTAGACTGCATAACTACTCTTCTCCTATAGCTGTGATTATTACATGCTTAGCCATTTTGCCAGTGCCCAGAAAACAGTTAACCTTACATCAAAACAACAAGAATGTTTTGTATAAGAGGCAAGCTTAGGATTACTTATATACGCACAGTTTTAATTACCATAACTTTCATATGACTTTTGATAGTCTTATCTGATTTGTTCACACGTTTTATGCTTTTAGGCTTTCTTAGAATTTCCTTTATATTTCTGAAACAACTAGTCCTTCCATAGATGAAGATTATCTGATTAATGTGATGTATTTGCGCAATACGTTTCGAACTATCTGATCACATATTCACTTATCCTTTCAAGTTGTAAGAAATCTAAGCGTGGCAGGACAAATAGAAGAATTACGATGATGGGGGATAAAAATTAAGAAAGATGAGAACAAAAGGAGAGAGTGACACGGGTAATCCTAATCTTGATGAGAAAACAACAATTATCAAGGTAGGCGTAGTGTAAGAACATATTGTGTTTGTGCACACGAAGTTGGTGTCAATTTGCCGACGCTTATCACTTTCCTCTACCTGACTGTTTTTACATGAAACTCTGATTGTACAGATGGAGTGTCAAACTTCGGTGGGAGACAACCCTCTTCATCTATAGCTAAACATATTATTGAATTAGTATTCAAACAGACCTTAAAGCTTTAGAACGAAATAGTCAGGGATGCATACCTAGATTTATGGAAGTGATAGCAATAAGCAAATTGACACCACATTTGTGTCCACAAAAACAATTTGTTCATACACTTTACCTACTTGGTTACTCTTTGTTTTCCTATCAAGATTAGGATCAACTATATCACTCTTCCTCTTTCTTCTCATCTTTCCTAAATTAAAATCCCCCATTATCTTAATTGTCTTATCTGTTCTCCCACTCTTGGGTTTCTTATAAAATGATTTGACAAGTGAATGTGAGATCAGATAGTTCGAAATGTATTGCACAAAAATATATTACATTGTTCAGATACTTTTTATCTTCTAATTGCACTATCCTATATCTTTGTTCACAAAAGTGTGACTTACTTTTGATAATTCTAAATGGTGAAATCAATAATATAGAAAGAAAGCGAGAAAAGAAAGTAAGAGGGGAATGAGTACCATAGGAGAAGTAATCACTATCAAATTAATACAAACTTTAATACGTTTTGTAAATGCAGCTGAAATGGAAGTTAATTTGATGTAAATGTTCCACTTCAGATGAAAATAAAAATAATATGAACCATTGTACAACAAGACAGACCTTTATCAATCTCATTCAACAACTATATGAAGACGCCACATGGCGGCCAAGTAATTCACAATGGGAAGCTCAGTGAAGCCTTTAAAGTGAAGATAGGAGTAAAGCAAACCTGTTTACTATCACCCATGATGTTCCTGATTGTAGTGTACTGGATCATGCAACAAACAATGGGAAGCGAGATGAGGGGGATACGATGGCTGGACCAGGGAAAAGAACCTAGAAGATTTGAATTTTGCCGATGATGACTTGTGTCTGATGTCACACAAACTTGAAGATCTACAGGCGAAAACTAACAAGTTGACAGAAGAGGCGAAGCAGGGTAGCGAAGACGGGACACCATTCAAGTGAACGTAGAGAAGATAGAGGTGATGAAGATACCCAACCAACAACAACAACAGCAACAAACTCTAATCACCATGAACGGGAGAAACGCAAAAGAAGTAACCTCTTTCACCTACCCAGGTAAGACAGCATCGTTTCAACTACAGGTGGCACAGACGAGAGCGCCCAAACCAGGATCAGGAAAGCAAGATTGGCTTTCATTAGCCTGAAACCAGTGTGGAGATCCCCCGCACTCAGCATACAGCGTGAACAACATGCGGATTTTCAATACCAACATCAAATCAGTGCTTCTGTGTGATGGTTGAGAAACTTGGCGCGTTACGAAAGGCGTTCCCAACACACTACAGACATTCATCAACAGCTGCCTACGCTGGCTCGTTACCGAAGCTCATATGGCCAGAAATAATAAGCAACAAGCAACAAGCAACTCTGGCTTACTGGCTGGCAACGAACCAACCAAGAAGCTATCACTGAACAAACGTGTAGTGGAGGTAAGTGGAGATGGATTGGATAGGGGATACACTGAGAAGGTCGACTGTGGACATCACGCGTCAGGCCAGTCACTCGAGTGGAACCCCAATGGGAAGGGACGAGTTGGGCGTTGGAGGCGAGAGTGACATGGAGGAGATGGTGTGAGGGGGAAATGAGAGGTTGTGGGCAGTGATGGATCCAGGTTCAAAAGTTTGGAGAGAAGAGGTTGGGATGGAGACGTGCTAATGAAGCCCAATGTTCCACTAGGAATCCAAGGGACAAATAGTAATAATAATAATAATAAAATTGTACAACAAGCATTTTTAAAACAGCAAACAACGGTAAAATGTCGCAGATTTCATAAAATCAAGAACTGGATTTATCAGTATCACCATAGTCAACTTTGAATCTGGTTTCACGATTAGTTTGGAATTAGATCCTAAATGCTTCCTACCATGAATGATAAAATCATATTCATTTTTAGAAGTAGTGGTTAACCAATACCTTGTTATATGAATTAGTACTTTGCTGTTTGCATAACTATGGATAAAGTATTGTTTCTACTCATTTGAAATCAAATTTATTCATAAGTCTAGATAGCTAAGAATAAAAAATGTATACCTTCAGTATGAACCAGTCTGTTAAAAGATTAGAAATTAAAATTTACCTAGAGGTTTATTCAATAAAATTTACTGTTTCATTACTTCAGAAATATAAGGAAACATTCTAGAGATTGTAGTAGCAGCTTATGTGAAATAGCTTTAACAAAGTGTTTTTTTTCACTTCTCTACGTTAATCTCTGATCATTAAGCATACATTCGAATGACATTCGTCTCCCAAGCTAGTCAATACTCATAAATATAATGTTTTCTGCATTTCCAAGCCAGGTCTCCAAAAGTAACAATGCTCCAGATATCAACCTTTGTAAGTATACAAAGGATCATGAAATGTGCATCTCGGAATCAACACATTATTACGAATTGAACTAGTTTCAACCGGATAATATGTCCAGAACATTCTCTCAGACTTACAAAAGATTTCAACCATCTTTTTACTTGTTTGGTTATCTGAGTAGAAGTTGAGTAGTAAAGACTGTCTTCTAAAGCATTAAACACTGATTTCTGTTCTGAAAAGATGTGCAGATTTTGAAAGAAACAATTATTTATGCATTCAAAGAGCCAGAAGCCAGATCAAGAGGTTTTCTTCATTAATAATTCTCGAATCCTGCTGTGATCAATCCTAGATCTTTTCCTTCATGATGTTACATGTATGTAAGGAGTTTACTTCGTGAGTATTTAGTTCATAATCTTCTTGTTCGAGATCCTTGACAACTATCATTAGGTCAGGCAACTATCACCATCTTTATGAATACTACTTTTACACTTTTCATAACAGCTGCTTCTAGAACATTATGAAATATGTAATCACCTACAACAAGGTGATGAGATGAAAAAGGAAGGGTGATATAGTTGATCCTAATCTTGGTAGGAAAACAAGGATTACCATGGTAGGTGTAGTGTAAGAACAAACTGTTTCTGTGCATATAAGCATGATTTAAACTTGTGCATGATTAGCGCTTCAGTAAATCTCAGTATACTTCCCTGACTTTTTCTGCATAAAACTTTGAAAGCTGTTTGAACATTAATTTATTGACCTGTTTCTATGATATGTCTAGCTTTGGATGAAGAGGTTGGTCTCCTACCAGCGTTCATCACTGTTTCGCACTCAATTTGCTTTTGAAGCCATTTAGATACATGTTCTCCTACCCTCGACCGCATGACTCGATTACTTCTCTCTATGTATATGTGACCACACCTACAAGTAAATTGATAAACGCAATGGGTTGTGACGCAGTCATTGATGCAGTGCTTAGGTTTGTGGTGAAGCATGTGTTTCACTTTTTCCATAGTGATAAGCTTAGCTGCGTAATATGCTTTTTAATGGTTAATGCTAGCCTTTATCTAAAAGTGATACTATTCAACTCTGCTGTGTATGGTAGAGTGATATAGACGCTTTTCTTGGGAACCATGTATAGAGTTGGCTTTGGTGCTACTTGACCTCTACAACGGTTAATAAACTTCAATGAATATCCATTTTCCATGAGTGTTTTGGTCAGTTATTTGATATATTCATCCATCGTATCTGATGTACTGATACGATAGATCCTATTAAACAGGCATTTTACTAGACCTCGCTTGTATTGGATTGAACAAAGCTGTGAAAACTCAGGTATCGTCCTGTCCATGTAGGCTTTCTGTAGACTGACCGTCTTATTGAACCATCTTCTTGTCGACTCAGTAGTATGTCTAAGAATGGCAAATGATTATTATTCTCCTTCACACAAGTCAGGCTGATATGAGTTTGTGCGGTGTTGAGTCTTGTTAGTAGACAAGCCATATCCTCATGCCTCTCACAAACCGCGATGATGTCATCAAAAAAATCCCTTGTAAAGAGAAACTTTAGCGATAAGATCAGCAGCCAGATTTTTGATATATAACACATAAATATCAGCTAGTATTGGTCCTAAGGGATCTCCTAGGGGTAACATCGTGAACTTGTCAAAACCCTTTGTCTTCAAATGCTAAGTGGATCTTGTCGGTACATAGCAATAACAGCTTCTTAAAAAAGGCTGGGTTTATAGGAAATGGCAGGTTTCTAGAAGCTATTTAGTCACAGGGAATGCTAATAGTCTTGGAAAATGACACTATACATAGCTGTTAAAAGTTGTCAGAAACCACTCCATCTAAATGCTTCAAAGTTAAGTAACATTATTTAATACTCGTCTATTTGAAAAAAAAGCCAGCAGAAATTAAGTGACTTACCCTCAACCAAATATTTAGGGAACTAGATTTAGGATAAGGTAATCCTAAATCATTTGCAAGTAATATAAATGAAAAACCTGTAATTATTTCACGATCCAATGTCTTTAGTATAAGTAGTCCAGGTCCATTATAATCTGATGTCATAGCACTAAATTCATTAGTATCACTATTAAGGTAAATTTTTGTTGAAGATTCAGGTGATTCAATATTAGCACTTTGTACATTATCTATCAATTTAAAATATTCATTCCATAAATGTTCATCATTTGGTAATCTAACTGAATATTGTACATAAGCATTTACTCCTTCATCTAAATCTATTGCTTTAGGCAATGGTATCCATTTGCCTGTTGGTGTATTCTCCATTACACTAATTATAAATCTCCCATGGTTATCCTGTTTATTGATTAAAGATTTTCCAAGTATTAAATCTTGAAATTTCGGTGCATTATCATTTACATCAGTAATATCTACACGTATGAAATATGTACTACTTGATGCAATTGTAATACCTAGGAACATACAACATGGACCATTGAAAGTATGGATATTTCTATTGTGAAGATTGTTAGCCCTTCCCAGTGTTGTTGTTGTTGTTGTTGTTGAAGCAGTTAGTGAACAACACAATTGAGCAATTGAAACACGTTCTGGATAGCGTTTATTATCACATATCATCTCACGATTGATTGGAATGATTGAGGTTAACTCATACCAAGAAGATTTTAAATGATCATCATTGGTTCTTCGACGTATAACAAACGGTTCACTTTGTTCAATATCTGAGAAATATAAAGGAGTACTGTTTATATCATCCGGGGATAAATGTAAATTTTTTAAAAGAATTTCACTTAAATTTATTGACAATTGTGAATTCAATGGATTCATTGGCCACAATGAATGGATAGTAGTGAAGTTAGTTGGATGTTGAAAATGTTCAGTGGAATATTCAGTAATTTTAATTGTTGCAATACTTTGGCATGCATTACACACATGAGGTAGATTTGTACACATGAATAGCAGTAACCAATATCTGCATAAAATACAATGATGGGTTAAAATCACAGCCTTCCGTTTAGATTTAAATTTTGACATAGAAATTAAAGAATTCCACCGAACATTCATATATTCTGAGATAGTATCTATTAAGAGAGAACAAAAGTAAAATGAGATGAGGTTTTCAATAAAGTGGGACACAGCGATTTAAATAAACTCACAATCAAGTATTTGGTAGCTGGAAATAAATGTACCCAATGTCTTATAACCAATAGCATAAAAGGGGAAGAAAGCCTTTATGAACGAATATATGTTGACAGCGATTGACTAAGTGTACTTCATGATTGCCTTCTACACATTATTATCTTTTTTTCAAGATGATAGAGGAAAATAAACGTTACCAAATAAATGCAAACAAATGTTTGCTTCAGGCAGTTAGTTTAACTTATTGTATTATAACTTTGATATTACATGGTGCTTCAAACTCTAATGAGCACCAGTGGGTTGAAAACTATGACAAATATGGTAAAAGCTGGGTACTTGATAGCTTAACAGATGACTGCTAACTATTGAGTCAATAAGTGTTGAAGGCTTTTGAGTAACATACTGCCAAAATAAGAAGTTATTAACAATGTTCGATAGAAGCAATGAAGTAGTTCAGTACCTTTTATCATTTGACTTTGATAGCCATTAATAACTGATTTCTGTATAAGGTTCCTGAAAATGGATCAAAGTTCTATTAAAGGCAGTAAAAATATTTTAGAAGTCATTTTGGACGGCTGTAGAATATTGTCGATTGGTTCAAGTTATCAGTGAAATCTGAAAATTTCTCTCACGTAACGAAAATGTATGATTATTTTAGTTTATTTCGAATAATATTTCAAGTAATAGGTATTGCTACAAATTTTCGCACAATCAGATCCAATAGGTGGTAAGAAATAATCACAGTGAGCATATCTGGAGTCACTAATAAATTTCATAATACATTGGCTAGTTGATGATAACTAACAGATAAATAATGTTATCTTGACTATGTGAGATAGTCGCGGTATGGCAGACTATTATTGAAGGTGAACTGAAAATTCGAACCGCGGCCGGACTCGAACAAGCGATCATTGGATTTTGGACTCGATGCTATACTAACTGAACTAAGAGGTCCGACTGCTGACTGTATTTTTGCTTCAATTGAATCACAGAGTGGGGTTTCGCGCAACTACCGTGTCAATTGGTGACGTGTTACTACCGCTTGATCGTATTCATACTAGTTGCCTAGTCAAGACTTCTCATCCCAATCCAAATGTAACTGAATTAGAGAGCGGGAGCATCATGTTGTTGATCATTTTGGCAAATTCCTTGGTGATTGGAGTAAAATAAAAATCTGGTCAGCAGTCAGACCTCATAGTTCAGTCGGTAGAGCATCGGGCAGGAAACCCTATGGTCACTGGTTCGAAACCAGGCGTGGTCCAAGTTTTCACTTCGCCTTCACTCATCATCCAGTACAGATAAATAAATATCATGAGTTGAACTCACTTGACAAAATGGTGATGTAATCGAACAAGAAAAAAGTGAAATACTGTTACAAAAGCAAAGAAGACTAATCACTGCTTCTTTTTGATCACACAATTCCGGTCTCAGTTATTTGATCGTTTTGGCTTCAGCAAACCTTGTTTGTTGATTGCATCAAAGGATCCTGGAACATAGACTTTCTGGTACATATCCGAAGAAAAAAATGTATAGATGTGACTCTAATCTTACTGTTATTGCTTGTATGACACCGTCGTTGACTGGACCTAATTGATTAGTCTCTTTTGGCATATGGGCTCCTGTGCGAAAGCCTCGATATTGCCTGTGTTCTAATTATGTATAGTAATGATGGGCAGTGGAATCCAGGATGCGCATTTTGTCCTATTTGGGACTCGTCGGTTGGATGTACCTGCCTCCCAGTGAGTGATGTTGTTTCCACCTATCGTGGCTCGATGGTGTGGTGAATAACGCGCTGGCGTTTGAAGCAATCACTCCCGAGTCCTAGTCCCGGTGGGAACATCATCACTCTTTGGGAGGCAGGTACATCCAGCTGATGAGTCCAAAATAGGACAAAATGCGCATCCTGGATTCCACTGCCCATCATTATTATACATAACTCTAATCTGCTTAGTAAATCCACTGTGTATGTCACAGCTTTATCAGTAGAATACTTCTTAATATGCTTTAAATCTTATTTCATTCATAAGCACCAGTTATACCAGGACATTAGTATTTTTGTTAGTTTTTAAATCAGAATCATATGAATAATTTATCAGAATGATAAACTGGATTGTATTTACATATCTCATCACCACTGTTAGATATGTGATACCAACTTTTTATGTTTTACTACACTAGTCATAGTGAGCGAAGACTGTTAGGTAAATAACTTGTAGAATAGCAGTGGAAATAGTTTGATGTCTTTTTTTATTTGTTGTATTTCTCAGCATCTATAATTGTTTTTAAGGCACATTTATTATTCCTCAATGCTAATAACCCCATCAGGTTTCTGATAGATACAAAAACTATTCACAGTCTACATTTGAGAGTAAGTCATTGACACACATTATAGTAACTTTTATAGTTAGGATACTTTTACTGATTAAACGATTCTAAGGGAAGAATAGACAAACCATAGTGAAGGCTGAGAAGTTAGTAACTTTTGTTTGTATACAATTCAGTATTATTCATATTTTGTGTTCAATGATATCCAACCTAGTGATTTTGATTCCAAAGATTTCGTCATATAAAATGATCATCAATGAGTTTAATCAATGAATATACATCGTAACCAGCCATTGACTTGAGTAGACAAGTTTGTGCTTTTTCATTAATTTATACAGGTTTATTCCAATACAAGTTTTATCTGCGCATTACACAATGAATGATAAGATCTTATCTTATGATCTGTAAATCTTGTATTATGGTGTTATGAAAAAGTAAATATTATAAGACGAATAATTATCTGCTCATTTATTTCCCTTATTTCTAGATCAAAATTTAAAAAAACACTGACTAAACCTTTAAATAATCGACAATTAGGTGATATCTTTGATAATCACTTCGTTGTCTACATAAAACCTATTTGTATGCTTGTTACAACTATGAAGCCTTTATAAATGGGCAACTAGACTTTGTATATAAAAAGACTTTTTCACAATATTTCAATAAGTGTTATTCTAAGTTGTTATTCATCGTAGACTGATATCAGTCAGAGGAACAAAGGAAACCTGGGGGCACTGGACAGCTGTTTCGTCTTAGAATGGGACTCCTCAGCAGTATGCACCCACCACCCGGTGAGGGATAGAACTCAGGACCTTCAGGTTTCACGGCGAGGAGTCTCATACTAAAACGAAACAGCTGTCCAGTGCCCCCACGTTCCCTTTGTTCCTCTAACTGATGCCAGTCTACAATGAATAACAACTTGAAACATTTCCAAATCTCCACAACCCCCTCAAAATTCAAGTGTTATTCTAACCAACTACAGGTATCATAACTAAATCTGTCAGACAAAGCTGCCGGATGACAATCAGAAAAACTTTCGAAGAAGTATTCTAATGTGCAGTTGGTTACATACTCCTTTCCTCGAACACTTGTTAAGTAAAGTACCGATTTGGGGATGAAACCAGTTGTCAGCATATATAACGTTCAGTAATATAGTACCACTAACAAATACTGTCCTTCTAACGAGGATTCCTATACTGTATTATAAAAGGAACTGAATAGTGAGTATATTGCGACGTTATATTCGGTTTAGTTTCTAACTACACTTTGTAACGGTGTGACCAATGACTTATTTATATCTTTCATCCAGGAATTAAAAAGAAGTTTTACTAAGTGCAATCAACCTGTCTAAGAGTGACCAACAGCTTAATTAGCTACAATTTGCTAACTTAGTTTAATAAATATTTTCAATCGTGTCAGGTTCATTCATACCTTTCATAGTTGGCTGTACCATATTAGTTCTGTGATCTGTTATCTATAACAAAATAGTTTATCTTTTTCTACTGTACTAAATATTTCCTTATTAACTTCATCATTTTGGCGGTTATTGTAAATCTATTGTCACTCTTTCACTTTTCTTTTTGAGAAGAACAAACAAATAGACTGTACTATTTATTTATTTTTAATAAAGTTGAAATCGTTGCAGTCAGGATGTCTTGAAGTGTTTCAACTTTAAATATTTTATAATGAATAGATCATCTACAAACATTGATTGAAAAATCTCTCAGACAATATCATTAGTTCGTGAGGTATATTATTTGTGATTTGCATTACCTTAGATATATATCTGATCATTATCTAACGCAGTTGTATGTTGGCCTTTTATTTGCGATATCAACAACTTAGCCTTCTAGTTAATAGATTATATGAATTAGTCAGTATAAAGGTCATAAGACCATGAATGAGTGCAGATGCAAGATCCCGAACCGAGAAAAGAAGATGATTATTGACTACTGATAATTCCTGCATCTTCAGCTGTTATAAACCTCTGAAAAAACATACAGCACTCAATATATATGCATATGTATAGGTAAACTATATAGATCTAAAACAAATGAAATACTCATGTTTAATTCCAGTATCTTATCTACATCATTCATTTTAATTTTAACATAACACTTGACTTTAGTTGATTAGATTCAGTTGATAAAAAGCTTTCGAACAAGATCTTGTATTTGTCAACACTCGTTGGCAAGGAGTGCCTGCATCTTACAGGGAATCATTGTTTGGTCAGACGTTTATATAAGTATCATTCTTTACTATAGTCTGATACATTACTAAATAGCAATTCCATCTACGAATGACCATCTTCCAAAACTTATCGACAAAAGTTCCTCAACACATAGTATTAGACGAAATAATATTTGTTAATGTGTGCTGATTAGTCAATGGATATTCAATATTTCATAAAGTAAATTCCGCATAAAATTTGAAAAAAAAAACAAGAAGCAGTCGTAATCGAATGCATAGAACTATGAACAGTTATGTTTGAAACAGAATAACTGGCAATCGATTCATATTATTATTCACTTCTGAACGCTGACCTTCAGACTTTTATTATTATTATTTGTCCCTTGGGTTCCTAATGGAACATACGGCTTCAGTAACACGTATCCAT